GTTGATAAAACAGTACCATTAGTATTGCATTGCCTTGTTAAAATAGAAGATCTGGAAAAACACATATGCTTATATTTGTTTAGTTTTAAATCCGTACAGTTTAATTCGCACCATTGAAAAAGGCTTTTTAAATCATTTTGAAGTAAATCAGCTTGCTTCATAGAGTTATAGGTGATAAACAACTTGACATCGTCTGCATACATTAGCAACTTGGAATGGAGTATTGCATTTGGCAAATCATTTATAAATAGAAGAAAGAGGAGTGGACCTAAATGACTTCCTTGGGGAACACCGGAAGGAACATTAATGGATTTGCAGAACCAGGTTAAAGAAAATAGAAGAAATACACAGCACTACAAGCTGCTACAAAAACAACAACAACCTGTGATCTATTTCGCAAATAAGATGATATCCATTTAACTAAATTTATACTGAAACCAATTTGATTTAATATTAAAAGTTCATGGTTAACCCTGTCAAAAGTTTTCCTGAGGTCAGTGTAAATTGTATCGGTTTAACTAAATTTATACTGAAACCAATTTGATTTAATTTATATATTAAAAGTTCATGGTAAACCCTGTCAAAAGTTTTCCTGAAGTCCGTGTAAATTGTATCGGTTTGATTACGCTGAATAAAACCTTTTATGACGGTTGAGGAAAATTGAATAAGATCGGTAATGGTTGAGAGGCCACTACGAAAACCATGTTGATATGGACTTAAGATTGGCTGAACTTTATGAGAAATTACATCAGTAATCAATTTGTACTGGACTTTTAATTGACCTTAAATTATGTAGATTTTTAGAAACATATTGGCTTTGTAAAAAAGGCAAAGATATTTGATCTATCGTCGATAATTTATAACTATATTTGTCTTTATTTGGACAGGGTGAATATGAATATGTTGTAGCGAAAAAATTTGCAAAGCACTCTGAAATTTCATAGTTTTTCTCAAATGTCCGATTATTGAATTTCAAAATGGTGGGCTTTGACGTAGCTTTTTTTTATATTAACAACGTCATAAAAAGATTTAGGATTGGATTTGAAATTATGTTTAATCTTGTTTAAATAAAGATTGTAAAGTTTTCGGGACTCTGTCGTATATAGGAGCCTGATTTTTTATATTTTTTAAAAAAGTTTATTTTTATAATTTTTAATACTTGAAAATCACCGAGAACTAATATCAGAGAGAACTAATATCAGAGTCATTCATTTTGTTAGTGATTGAATTTATTGCTAACACATGCTGATTATAAATATCAAGTTGCGATGAGGGAGGAATGTATGAGCAAGTCAAAAATAATTTAAAATTTTCTAATTCAATGGTTATGCAAATAAATTCGATATCAAAACAGTTTAATTCAATTAAATTAGTGCAATATTTGTCATCAACTGCAATAAGAACGCCACCGCCTCTTTTAACAACTCTATCTTTTCTAAATATTTGATATTTAGAAAACAAAATTTCACTATTTAACACGGATGCTTTTAACCAAATTTCAGAAAATACTATAACATCATAATTAAAACCAAGGCTATCAGAGAATAATCGAGTTAATTTTGTGTTTAACCCTCTTACATTCTGATAGCAAACATTGAGAAACATATTTAGTTTTTTGGCAATATTTCAGCCCTCTGAGGCAAATAAGTTAATTTTTCAGATCTTTCCAGAAATTCCTTTACAAATGCATTAGCAGGACAAAATTTTCTCGAAATTAGTCGATGAAACATACTTTCTAGTACTACGATTTTAAAAGATGATATACTTTCTGAGAAAGCATACCGGAGCTTATAACAACTAGAAAGAAATTTCCATCGATTTTTGATTTTATATAATAATTTATATCCTCAGCCGAGGTATCTGGTGCAAACCTAGATACAAATACCATTTGTACCATTTGCCTGTTCAAAGACCATACCTTAGATAATGGTCTTTGACCAGGCTGGAGGGAACTGCTAGTGACAGCTACGGAAGACGCATTAAATGATTGAACTAATGATTCCTGATTTCCGTGAGTAGGTTTTGAAGTCTTTTCCAGACTAGCACTACTTATACTCACAGGTTTTGGATTAATCACTTCATTTACATCCTTAACGATTTTCGAGGCCGAATGTGACGCAACACTAGCATATGTCTGGACACAATCAGTGATTGTTGTTGCTGTGGGTTTGCGACTAGGCACGACTTTATTGGGAGCCTTTTTCGCAGACCTTTTACGTTTCTGCCCAGACACAGATGGTGATGATACAAATTCATCAAGCTTTTGGTACTTTTCGAACAAATTGGAACAATTCTCAAAACGTTTTGATAACGATGTAAATTCCTTTTTCATCGAAACAAGCTCCGACTGCAAGTCTTTTACAAAGTTATAAAAGTCGGCTCAGAGTTTTCGACAATGAACACAGCACCAACGGACACCAACATTATCCCTAATTGTGTCCACTACTTTTGCATTAATTCGAGCACATTTAACGTGCCATTGATTAAGGCAAAACCAGCAATTTTGAACTGCTTTTGAGTTTATAGTACACGACGTCACTGCCTGACTATCGACATATATAGTCACCGGTCCCGCAATGACGGCAGTAAGTGATTTTACTATTTCGGTCGTATTCGTGATTGCAAGGATTTCTGCTTGAAAAACGCTGCAAAGATTGTTTAGTTTATATTACTTGTAGGTTTTTAATTCCCTACAGTAAACACCTGCACTAGTGCTTCCTCCATCTTTGACCCGTCTGTAAAGAATGACAGGCCTGGCAAAGGTAAGTAGCCACTAGTCCAGGATTCCCTACTAGGAAACTCTACTTTGATGTCGTTAATGTCTCTGTGAGAGGGAACATAGACACTAATATGACTATTCCCCCTCAAGAGGTCACAACCTGGCGTTATGTTTAGGATACTAGCATGACCATAGTTCAGCGATTACCAGGCATCCGTTTCCCGGAGCCTCAGGGCACACCTGGCCGCCTGGAATTTAATCAGATCGTCCAGTGGTTGGAGGTTCAGGATTGCATTCAAGGCTGCCTGTGGTGTACTTCTTAACGCTCCGGTGATCAGAATTGAAGCCGATCGCTGTACTAAACTTAATTTTGTCAGCAGCATCTTTTTGTTGACCCCCTGCCACCAAACAAGGAATGGGGAGGACGATCGTCACATACAGCCAGTGTATGATCTCAGGTCTTAATTCCCAGCTCTTACCTATGGAGTTCTTGCATGAGTAGAGTGCCAACAGTCCTTTCTTAGAGCGTTCCCCAACATTCCTATTCCACGTTAGTTTGCGGTCAAGAATAGTAGGTATTTTGCTTCTTCAGAAAGGGTCGTTATGAAACAACTCCCCAAAATTTAAAATGAAAAAATTACAAAATAATAAGAAACTAGCAAAAAATATATTTTTATTTATTACTGAGGTACCGACTACAATTATTGTTAGCAACTATTTGATTTAAGAACGTAGAGTTGTAAGCGCCATGGAATTCGAAATCATTGCGGTCAAAGAAAAACATCAGAACAAAAAATTATTACTTATAAAAAAACTGAATACAAAAGTTTTCAAAAATTTGAATGCAGAATTAAAACTTGCTAAGCTAGGGTATGTTATTAGGGTATGTAATAATTTAAAGGTTTTTTTTTTGCAACAAAAATATATTGACCATAGTCATCCGAATGAAGAACAATTCTATATGGAATTGAATTCTTTGAATCAAATTAGGAGTGATTGTATTGTAATTGGTAGTGTCTTGGGAGGAAATAGAATTGATATTAGAAATATGGTTTACCCGAAAAAAAATAAAAAAATGTGCGCGACTTTTTTGTTCGATTCCAAAATAAATTCCTATTTTCACTAAACTTAATTAATTAAAACAAAAGGTTTTTGAATTTTCGATTTTTTGGTATCGTATAAAATATGCGACGCTTTCTCTTCAAATTCTTTTAGATCATTGTTAAATATCGTTAGATTCATCTGATAAGAGTTTAGACATTAAAAATGACTAAATATAAATACATAAAAATGATCGATATTAAAAAAACATGCAATTCGCGTATTCGTTGAAATCATTTGTTGCAGCGCATGCGTTTTTCCTATAAACGGAATCAATCTCTTCTAATAATTATGAATTTTTCGATGTTTCATTAAACGGCCAAAGTGTGCCGCTCGATGCACTTTACTATACAAAACCCCTAAAAATGGCTAACGTATAAAATGTTTATACGAATCAGATTTCAGAAAAACCCGATTATATATACGAATTTGTCAAAATAAGTTTTTAGAGTTTTTCCTACATTCAAGTTACTATATCCGCCTTGCATTAGAACTATATTGTTCATGGGGTATTCTTCAACTTAGTCACTGATCACATGTGCGTGCGTTGTGTAGTTTATCCACAAATCAGGAAAAAACACAAAAAAACGTCTTGGCACATTTTCACCCATTTTTTTACATTACCACCATCACAGCTTCCACGCAACTTATTATTTATTACCATATTACATATTTCAAGATTTTGACAAGAACACTTCATTTTATAGAAATGAATTTAAATCATATGCTTGCAAACCTCACCTACAAGGAATTTAAAACATTTTTGTAGTTTCACATATATAGTAAACATTGGTTGCGGAAGTCGAAAATTCATAGACAAATATCCTCTTCCCAAAGGTTCAGGATGGGTGGATTAGCATACCCAAGGATCAAATCGAGCGTTTTGTAGATTCAATTCCTCGTAAATTTGCTGTCATATTCATAAATAAAGTTTGCGATGTCGATTACTAGCTAAATTTATTTTTCCCTTTTGACCAAGCAAAAATTGGGTCAATTTAGATTTCCATAGAATATTTTTTATTTCAAAATAAATTTTGTTTTTTTAAATTGAAAAAATTACATATTTATTTTTTTCATATTTATTTATTTCACTATAAGTTTATTTTTTAAAAAAATAAATATAAATATATATAATTTTACTTAGGTGTACACATTAATTTTTTTATTAATTTCTTTGTAGGTCTCTTCAAGAAGGTCAAGATATTTTTGGTGTAGATTTTGATTATGACGACTTTTCCAAATATGAAGAAGACGAATACGAAGATGATTCAGAAGGAGAAGAATATGACGACGAAGCGGGGGATGATGATCGGGGTAGAGTGAAGAAAAAAACAACCAAGAAGTTACCGAAGAAAACAATATTTGATTTGTATGAACCAAGTGAGTTAAAAAGAGGTCACTTCACAGATCTTGACAATGAGATTCGGAAAACTGATATCCCTGAACGAATGCAGTTAAGACAAGTTCCTGTAGTTCCCGTTCCTGAAGGTTCTTCCGAACTAGATAATGAAGCAGAATGGATATATAAGCAAGCGTTTTGTAAACCTACCGTATCACAGCATGATAATAATGACAAGAGTCGAGAAATTAACAGGAAGCCCCCAAGTACAGTAGGAAAGATAAAACAAGCCTTAGAATTCATAAGAAATCAACAATTGGAAGTACCCTTCATATCATTTTATCGTAAGGAATACGTAAAACCTGAACTAAACACAGACGATTTGTGGAAAGTATATTACTTCGATGAACGTTGGTGTCAACTGCTAAATAGAAAGAATAAATTATTAATTCTTTTTGAAAAAATGCGAAATTATCAAATAAACGAAATTATGAAAAAATCTGATTCCGATTTACCGGAGGACATTCGAGTTCTTAAGGATGATGACTTTGAACGTCTGCGGGATGTACAAACTATGGAAGAATTAAAAGACGTGCATTTACATTTTCTTTTGTACTATTCCCATGAGATACCTAAAATGCAAGAGGAAGAACGAAAAAAGGAACGGGAACAAAAAAAACAACAAAGAATGGAAAAACGCAGACAACATTTAGAAGACGGTGGGGATATACAAGATTCCGAGCACATTTCCGACGAAGAAGACAGTGATGAATTAAATGTACAAGAAGAACACTTAAAACAAGCTAAGGACTCGGGTCCGTATGCTATGTGTCGTAAGGCTGGTATATGTGGTTTTGCAAAACATTTCGGATTGCAACCCGAACAATTTGCCGAAAATATCCGCGATAGTTACCAGCGTCATGAAGTTGAACAAGAAGTAATAAGTCCATCAGATCTTGCAAGACAATACTTATGTCCAAAGTTCATGACAATAGATGAAGTAATTCATGCAGCTAAATTCGTTGTTGCAAGACAACTGTCAAAAGAACCTCTCCTTCGAAAAACAATTCGTGAAGTATATTTTGAACGGGCAAAAATTAACGTACGGCCAACCAAGCAGGGAATAAAAGAGATTGATGAAAATCATCCGTGCTACCCTATGAAATATTTAAAAAATAAACCAATCCGAGATCTTATTGGCGAACAATTCCTTAGACTTTTTATGGCAGAAGAGGACAATCTTTTAATTCTAAATATTGCCGAGGAAATTGAAGGTAACACGTCTGGATCTTATATAGAAGAAGCAAAACAACTTTACCAACGTGATGAGTTTTCGAAAACTGTTCAAGAGTGGAATACGCTTCGTGGCGAATGTGTTGAGTTGGCGCTTAGAAAAATGGTGATACCTGATTTAAAAAAAGAATTAAAAAGAATAGTTCTTACAGAAGCCAAAGATTTTGTACTTAGAACATGCTGTAAAAAATTGTCAAACTGGTTGAAAGTGGCACCATTTAGACCTGATTTTTCAGATGAATATACATTTGATGATTGGGGTTCGACAAAAGGCATTCGTTCCTTAGGACTTGCATATGTCCCGGATTATTCGCAGGCTGCATTTTGTGCAATTACAACACCGGAAGGAGATGTAAGCGATTACTTAAGACTGCCTCATATTTTAAAAAGAAAATCTTCTTATAGATCAGAAGAAAAAGCTTTAAAATTATCAGATTTGAACAATTTAAAAGAGTTTATACGGAGTAAAAGGCCACATGTAATAGCTATTGGAGGAGAGTCCAGAGAGGCACAAATGATTCAATCTGACATTCAAGAAATTATTAAAGAATTAATGGAGGAGGACCAGTTTCCGAATATTGCAGTGGAAATAATTGATAATGAACTAGCAAAAATATATGCGAATTCACAAAAAGGGGCATCTGATTTTAAGGAATATCCAACATTACTCAAACAAGCTGTTTCTCTCGCACGTAAAATACAAGATCCACTTTTAGAGTACTCTCAACTCTGCGGGCCTGACGAAGAAATTTTATGCTTGCGTTACCATTCTTTGCAAGATCAATTGTCGAAGGAAGAACTATTAGAGCACCTTTATATAGAATTCATTAACCAAACCAATGAGGTGGGCGTGGACATAAATATGGCTGTACAAAATTCATATACATTAAATTTAGTACAATTCATATGTGGACTCGGCCCTAGAAAAGGTCTGGCGTTAATTAAGATTCTTAAACAGTCAAATCAGAGATTAGAGAACAGAACGCAGTTAGTAACATTGTGTCACTTAGGGCCCAAAGTTTTTATAAACTGTTCGGGATTTATAAAAATTGACACGAGTTCTCTTGGTGATAGTACCGAGGCTTATGTGGAAGTTCTGGATGGTTCAAGAGTACATCCTGAAACATACGAATGGGCTCGGAAAATGGCAATAGATGCGATGGAATATGACGACGAAGAAACCAATCCCGCCGGAGCTTTAGAAGAAATATTGGAGAGCCCAGAAAGACTTAAAGACCTTGATCTTGATGCATTTGCTGTAGAACTTGAACGTCAAGGGTTTGGAAATAAAAGCATTACACTTTACGATATAAGATCCGAATTGAATTCATTGTACAAGGATTTTAGGGTTCCATATCGTTCTGCCAATTCTGAGGAGCTTTTCGATATGTTAACGAAAGAAACACCTGAATCATTTTATGTTGGAAAAATGGTGTTAGCGACCGTGGCTGGGATTTCTCATCGGAAGCCCCAAGGGGAACAATTGGATCAAGCAAATCCTGTTCGAAATGATGAAACTGGTAACTGGCAATGCCCCTTTTGTTTAAAAGACGATTTTCCTGAATTATCGGAAGTGTGGAATCACTTTGATGCGGGTGCGTGTCCCGGTCAGGCCACTGGTGTAAAACTTCGTCTAGACAATGGTTTATCAGGTTTTATACATATTAAAAATTTATCAGATAAGCACGTGAAAAATCCGGAAGAACGAGTACAATCTGGGCAAGCAATTCATGTAAGAATTATTAAAATAGATGTTGATCGTTTTTCAGTAGATTGTTCATCAAAGAGTTCAGATTTAATGGATAAGAATCATGAATGGAGGCCTAGACGAGATCCTTTCTATGATTATGAACAAGAAGAATTTGACAATAGCAAAGAGAAAGACCAGAAACAAGTCAAAACAAAGCAACAATATGTAAAACGTGTAATAATACATCCTTCCTTTCATAACAAATCATATGCGGAAGTGGTAAAAATAATGGAAAACATGGATCAAGGTGAAGTGATTGTTCGTCCATCGAGCAAAGGTTCGGATCACTTAACGGTAACGTGGAAAGTCACAAACGATATTTACCAACACATAGATGTGCGCGAAGAAGGTAAAGAAAATGCATTTAGTCTAGGTCAAAGCTTGTGGATTGGAAATGAGGAATTTGAAGATCTCGATGAAATTATAGCAAGACATGTCAATCCTATGGCAGCTTGTGCGCGAGAACTACTTACTTATAAGTACTATCGTGACACAGGAGGTGGGCTTAAAGATAAAATGGAAGAATTGTTAAAAGAAGAAAAGATCAAAGACCCCAGAAAAATACACTATTTTATTTCGGCATCTAAAAATTATCCTGGAAAGTTTTTGCTATCATATTTACCCAAAAACAAATGTCGACATGAATACATTACTGTAGTCCCCGAAGGATTCCGTTTCAGAGGGCAAATTTTTGATTCTTTAAACGGCTTACTTAAATGGTTTAAAGATCATTATTCTGATCCTATAATATCTAATACACCCGTATCTACTTCGCATCTTAATTCAGTCTCAAGATTGAGCAACAGTGGGTATGACACTCCTCGAGTAACTGATTCAAGATCTTCGCAACAATTACCACAAAGCGTTTCTGCGCATACACCTCATTTTTCAAGTACACCAGGATATCATGGAGGATATGTGAATACCCCATATACTCCAAGTGGCCAAACTCCGTTTATGACTCCATATACCACTCCCCACTCGACTCAAACTCCGCGTTACGGTAGTAGTACGCCTAGTCCAAGCTCTTCGACTTCACATTTGACATATGGCCACCAATCACATAATAGCAGAAATTCAAAAGAAGCTGGTTACGGTAATGCACAAAGATATGACAAAAATCATCGAACACAACGAACGAACGAAAGTCTAGAATGGCAGATTGCATCAGATTCATGGGCTAGGCGGAAACGGGTTAATCCTGCTATGCCTCAGAGTAGGCACGATTCAGTGAGAGCGGCAAATTATTGTATGCCTCCACCAAACATTGAATACTCTCAACCAACACCCCAATACGGAGAGGAAAATCGAATTAGACCTCCACAAGATTATCAAAGAAGTCCTAGGTCTATTCGAAGCACTCCCCGTACGAATACCTCACCACATTCTATGAATTTAGGTGATTCTACTCCATTATATGATGAAAACTGAATTGTATCAAATAAAGTAACATATAAAATGTCTATTTCTAATTTTAATATACAAAAAATTGTGGTTTACTTTTGCTTTTTTTAGCAAAATTGGAATATTTTTTATAAATAATTTGAAATACGTTGTTGTTTGGGTTGAAAAATGGTCCAAAGAAGTAAACTGAATGTTTGGGTTATTAAAATCTTGAAATTATGAACTCAAGTGTCCTACACCACAACTTTATATTAGATACAAAATATAAACATATTATAAGTTTGGTAAAACAATACTGTTTAAAAAAAAAAAAAATAAATAAAATAATAATGTAATAATTGTGACTTTAATGAATTTCTATTAAACTATCAAGGCATATTATGTTAGGTTATAGGATGTGCGACTGTCAAAAAGCAGTCGCTCCACTCGGAGATGTATGGTTGATTATGATCATCCTAAAATATGTTTGGATAGTGAAGATAATGAAGAGAGTAGACGAAGTAGAGGTTAAAAGACTTAACTCCACCATGGCAAATTTCTAGCAAAGTTGTTAATATTCTTGGGCTCTACTTCGAAGAAAAATGTTAGCGTTTCTATTTCAAATCTACCGTATCGAAGCATGGGGCACCGAAGAGTAAATGTTTGATGTTGTTGTTGTTGTAGCAGTTTATATGAATTGTATGTTTTCTGTTATGTTTCCTCCAATTCTATCTCCAGATTCAGAAATGCAGCTACCTCCACTGGCTATAACCACAGATCTTCCGGAGTGAGGTGAGTAGGTTTGGCTGGGCAATTGAACAAGTGCAGTGTGGTATGAGGGCCTGTACCACATACTGGGCAGACATCCTGCACCTAGTCATCAATCCGTGCCCAATACGAATTGAGCCGACTGCACCATCCAGAACGTAACTGAGCCGAAACTACTCTGGTTTGTCTGGGCAGCTGACGTTCTTCAGCTGCTATGGGTGGGGGGGTGAGCTCCGAGGACGGCATTCACTTTGTAACCGTTCAGCGCTGCGGCTACTGCATCTGTATGAATGCCATTCAGACCTGCTCGATAGGCAACTTGATCTAGAGGCTCCCTTTTGTATCGTTGCACCTCTCTCTCTAGATCATGCAGATTCTTCCTAGATCATGCAGATTCTTCCGCGGAGTCCTATCCACCATATGATGGTTGGGATGATCGTCCCTGAAACACCCGAGCAGGTACTGCAACGAAAGCATATTGCTATGCTGACGTACGGGAAGGATCGTCGTCTCCTCATGAAGATGGTCCACTGGTGTCATGAGGAGGCACCCTGTCGCTGTCCTCAGGGCGGCATTCTGACAGGTCTGAATATTTCTCCATTGCGTATCACTGGAATTCGCAGACCACACTGGAACCGAATAGCTAGCCACAGACCGACCTATCGCTTTGTAAGAGGTCAACAAGGTTTCCTTATCTGCGCCCCAAGTGCTGCCGGCAAGCAACTTGAGGACCTTGTTCCTACTTTTCAGCTTATCGCAGATAGCTGTGGTTTGCGCGGACGATTTGAACATGCTGTCGAATGTGACCCCGAGTATTTTGGGGTAGTTGGTGGTCGGAATTGTATGCCCCTCGACCTGCACATTCAACGACATTCATCTCCGCAGTCCATGTGGTGAATAGTGTGGCTGACGACTTCGAGGCGGATATTTTCATATTCCTCGCTTTGAAGAAGGCTGCCAAATCGATGAGATAGGCGTTCAACCTCACACATATGTCTTCAACAATGGGACCCGACGCCATAATCGTACAATCATCTGCATACGTAACGATTTCAATGCCGTCCGGAGGGCGTGGAATACCGGAAAGGTAGAGGTTAAACAGTTCCGGAGAAATCACTCCACCCTGGGGAACTCCCTGTTTAACTCTACGGGGTTTGGACTTCTTGTTCCGGAACTCCACGTACGACTGGCCTCCACACATATAGTTGATTATCCAACGTTTCAAACTCGGCCGGAGGGAAGTGTTCTCTATGTCCTCAAACAGCGTGGCATGGTTGACAGTATCAAAGGCTTTTGATAGGTCAAGCGCTACCAACACCGTACACATGGATATTCCATCTGGGCCCAACGCTTTTGATGACTTCGCGTTACGAATGACACATGCAACATCACCCATTGTAAACTGTGGTGGTACCTCCTCGGCTGGAAGAGATCTTATACGACGAAGTACTCTTCTCTTCGCCCTGTCGCTCTCGGGATGCTCGACGAACTGTCGGTTAAAATGACTTGCGCATCTCTTCGGATCAGTCACAGTTTCGTCGTTAAATGTGACTGAGGTCCTATCATCCTTCTTACCAGGGTTCGAGAGCGACTTAACCGTTGCCCACAGTTTACTTACTCCGGTACCAATGTTGCAACTCTTCAGGTGCTCCAACCATTTATTCCGCTTGTGCTCCGCGACTAATCTGCTGACCTCCAACGTAAGTTCCCTGACCCTGGGATCTGCTGGGTTAGATCGACGGAGATCATCACGCTCATTTGCCAGACCAACTGCTTCTGCTGGGAAATTGGGTCTCATCTCGGGTATTCGACCAGCCGGTATAAATCTAGCAGCTGCAGCAGTGATGATGCCTCGGAATTTCCTTTCTGCTACCCGTTCATCAGAAGGAATGGAAAGTTCTCTGAAGCGCTGGTTGGTGAACTCTCTGAATCCTTGCCAGTTGGATTTCCTATGGTTAAGAAAAGTGCGGCGTTCAGAGATGACGAAATCGGGCGGTCTGCTGATGGAGACGATTATGGGGAGATGGTCTGATCCAAGAGAAATGACGGGCTGCCAGCTGACGTTATTTATCAGACCCGGTGACACAATGGTTATATCTGGTGAACTGTGACACTCTCCCCTTATTCTGGTGGGGGCATCCTCATTTACCGTGCAGAACGTGGAGCTATCAATTTGCTCTGCCAGCACTGTTCCCCTCTGGTCATTACCTAGGACGGAATGCCACAACTCGTGGTGGGCATTGAAGTCCCCTAGCACCAGACGGTTATTGCCCTCTAATAGAAAACTAATGTTGGGCGAATAACGCGGTTCACAGCTATTAATCGGCGGTATATACACGTTAGAGGTGCTTAACGTGTATATACCTCGGCAGTACCACATTTAACTGCTACCCCCATACATTCCATGTATGGGTCACTAGAGTCAAGCTCAAGCGAGATATGCCTGTATTGAACAGAGTGATGCATAAGGAATGCTAGGCCTCCACCTCCACTTCTGGTGCGATCCTTCCTCAGAACGTTGTAACCATCACAACGCTGTAGGCAACAATTTTCATTGAGCTTGGTTTCCTGCACCGCCGCGACCAAAATATTCTTCCGATTCATGAAATCCACTATCTCATCTATTTTTCCTCGAAGACCGTTGCAATTAAATTGCAGAAACGATGCACTATCAGGGGTGGGAACAGCAACGTGCGGTGTTAAGTGCTGCATACTTGGTTGCTGTTCGGGAGACTGCGGTGGAGTTCCGTACTCCGACGAAGAAGTCGACGACGTAGACTCACTGGGGATTGCGCTGTCGCAGCACGAGGCAACGTAATTTCTATAGCTGTAATCTCGCAACCGGGCCAACCCGGAACAATTCCTGAAGTGCACCCAGTTTCTTTTCCCCTTCATCATCGCATGAACTGCAGTAATCCTTATATAATAATTCTACAGTGACCTGCTCATAGATATTAACTTTTAATTTTACGCTTAGAAATAACCGGCCAGATAGATTTTGAAAAAGAGATTCTGCAATGACCTGTAGTGATTCCTACAGTCACCTTTATCTCTCTCCTACTCATAGAAATAAAGCCCATATATATTTTGAGGTCCTTCATCTTGTTACTTTATCGTTAAAAATCTTGCCAACAAAATAGGTAAGGGGAGGTCTAAACAGTGTGATTAATTTTTATATTGATTGACTGCGATTCACATCGACCAAACTCGTCAGCCACTTTATTTTCCTTAATAATATCAAAATAAAGAACTGTATTCCGGACGTCAATTCCCTGTGAATTTGATCGCTCTTCCTTTTTAAAGTTATTTTAAACAACGACTCGAAGCGAAAAAATCAGTTATGAGGAAAAGTTAGTTACTCTGAATTAAAGGTTGAATTATTACGGTTGGCGTAGTCTTGTTGAAAATTTAGCGCTGTCGACAAATCGGTATTATGAAAGTCGTTACAATACGCCAAATTTGTAGTTCAAGATTTTTCTTGTGTGGGCCAAACGAATTGTACAGAACGGCATAAATCAAAAATCGTGATTTTTTGAGTTAATAATACAGAATTATTCCCTATATCAGACTTCATATTGTGTAAAAAATTCAGATAATCATATCATACACACTCTAATTGAGAGTAAATTTACAACTTAAAACTCATTTTCTGCAAAATCGATTTTTTGATTTTTTTGTTTTTTTTTTTAAATAAAAGAACAAGGACCTCCTCGGGATTTAGATTGGAGAAGATCAATTTTTTCTTGGACCTGTGGGAGTAGAAGATTGCTGAAAAGACCATAATTATCCCGTACTTCTTGCTGTACGGGAACATACCAATTATTATCAAAGGTAAAATATTGTTTATCCGAACAATATTCAATAAAGGAATTTATTTTATTTGAAATAAGTAAAATTCTTTAGTTTTATTTTATTTTTTTCTTTTTCGAATTGGTGCCCTCAACAATAACAAAGAAGAAAAACTACTTGGTATTTGTTTGCATTTGTTTTCAAAGGCGCACTGATTCCGTCAGCATCACATCAACAATCCAACAATCTATCATCAGTTACAAATATTTCATAATATCGTTTAAGGTGAGTACCGTCAATATTAGTGAGTGAGCATACGCGAGTTTTTTTTACAAAATGTGATATTCCATAATTTACAGACGTTCGTTATTATTATTATTATTATCTTCAAGAATAACAACACTTCATATTCTCATTTAGCGAGAATACTGCAAAAAAGAAACAACCCTTTTAAATGTACTATGGTTTTTTACAACGATGTGTGTGTGAGCGTCTTTTTTGTGAGTATTGTAGA